GAACTTAAATTCATGTCCACACACCCCACTGTGCCTTCCACGTTGCTCAGCAGCCACACCCTGTGCCCCCACTTCTCCTACCCTCCTAGTTCATTAACACGCTCTCCTCTGTCCTCACACTCAAGTTTCCAGCCTCACTGAGAAACTAGTAGCCATCAGAAGAGACCTTTTGTAAGCTCCCACCTCCACATCCACCCACCCCAGATCGAGGCCGTTATATTCTGCTTTGCAATAAAATAGATGAAAGGTCCGTGTTTCTCTCTCAGGCCTTGCCATCCCCCTCCCACGCACCCGCCTCCATTCACTAAATCTCATCCCCTCTCACCTACTCAGAGTCCTGAAGCTAGTAGCTCTGCACGCACGCCCTCGTATCATCCTTTCTTCCCTCTCGACTGGATTATTGCCATCAGTATTAATACATGTTTCTCCCATCTCAAATACCGAAAACCTTAAAAGATTTTTAAAAATGTTTTAATTGTGGTAAAAGACACATAGCATAAAATTTACCCTCATAACCATTTCTTTTTTTTTAATTTTTAATCTCTATTTTTGAGAGAGAGAGAGACAGAGACAGAGTGCAAGTGGGGGAGGGGCAGAGAGAGGGGGAGACAGAATCCCCAACAGGCTCCAGACTCTGACATCTCAGAGCCCGATGTGGGGCTCAAACCCACGAATCGTGAGATCATGACCTGAGCCGAAGTCGGACACTCAACCGACTGAGCCACCCAGGCGCCCCTCATCACAACCATTTCTAAATGTACAGTTCTAGTGTTCAGTGTATTCACATTGTTGTGCATTCAATTTCCAGAACTTCACCTTGCAAAACCAAAACACTGTACCTGTTAAACAACAACTCCCCATTCCCTCCTCCCTCCAGCCCCTCGAAAGCACTATTCTACTTTCTGTTTCAATGCATTTGACTATTCTAGGCATCTTATATAAGTGGAAACATGCAATATTTGTCTTTGGTGACTGGCTTATTTCACTTAGCAAATTTCCTCAAGTCTCATGCATATTGTAGCATGTGCCAAAATTTTCTTCCCTTTCCAGGCTGAATAATATCCCCTTGTGTGGATGTACGACCTGTTGTTTACCCATTCATCTGTCAATGGACATTTATAGTTGCTTCCTCGTGGACTGTTGTGAAGAGCGCTGCTATGAGCATGAGTATCAAATACCTCCTGGCTTTCAATTCTTTTGGATATAGACCCAGAAATTGAATTGCTGGGTAATTCTATTTTAAATTTCTTGAGGAACTACTATACTGCTCCATTTTACATTACCACCAAGTGTTCTGATTTCTACACATCCTTGCCACTACTTTTTATCTTTTATTTTTATTTGTTTTTGATAGTAGCTATCCTAATGGATGTGAACCATTTGATCTGACTTTTCTTTCTTGCTACTGCTAATTTTCGGCTCCCCTTTCAGACAGGCCTCCTTGAAAGAGCTGACTTTACCTCCTGATCCCAATGCTTCTCTTCCCATTATTTCTTGAGCTAATTCTAATCAGGTTCTCATCCCACCCACTGTACAACCACCTCTCTTGCTGAGAAGTTGCACATCTAAGGGCCACTTCTAGTCTTCCTTGTCGGGTCAGAGCTTTTGACATGACTGATCACCCTCTCCTTTGTGAAACACTTTTTACATTTGGCTCCCACAAGGCCATACTCTCCCAGTTGTCTGGGAGACAGTATGTCTCCATACTGGATGTCTTTCCTGTTTGTTTGTTTGTTTTTTAATTTTTTGGGGGGTGCCTGGGTAGCTCAGCTGGTTAAGCGTCTGACTTCAGCTCAGGTCATGATCTCGTGGTTCGTGAGTTCAAACCCCGTGCCAGGCTCTGTGCTGACAGCTCAGAGCCTGGAGCCTGCTTCAGATTCTGTGTCTCCCTCTCTCTCTGCCCCTCACCCACTCATTCTCTCTTTCTCTCTCTCAAGATAAATAAAACATTTAAAAAATTAAAAAATTTTTAACGTTTATGTTCATTTTTTGAGAGACAGAGAGAAAGGGAACATGAGCAGAGGAGGGGCAGAGAGAGAGGGAGACACAGAATCTGAAGCAGGCTCCAGGCTCGGAGCTATCAGCACAGAGCCTGATGCAGGGCTTGAACTCACAGACCATGAGATTATCGTGACCTGAGCTGAAGTTGGCTGCTTAACCAACTGAACCACCCAGGCACCCCTTTCCTGGTTTGTCTTGCTGGTTCCTCCTCATCTTTCCAAGACTTTTCATATTGCAGTTTTGCAAGGCTCAGTGCTTAGATTTTTCTCCTCTCCATCTATACACTCCTTCCATGTTATTCTCTGATGATCTCACTCATTATCATGGCCTTAAATGTCAACTCTGTATTGATGATTCTCAAATTAAATCTCCCTTTAGACTTTCCCCCAGAATTCCATACTCTACTACATGCACCTGCCTACTTAACATCTCTACTGGCATGTATGCATCATAAACTTGACATGTCCAAAATCAGCCTCTGGTCTTCCCTAGTCTATCCCCCATCCCCCAAACCTGTTATTCTATCTACAGCCTTCCTAGCTCAAACCTTGGAGTCATCTTTGACTTCTTTCTCTCTCACACACACCACAGTCAGTGTGTCAGTAAGTCCTGCTGGTTCTACCTTGAAAATCTATGCAGAGTCTGTCTACTTCTCATCTCCTCCACTGCTATTAACCTAATCCAATCTACCGTCATCTCTCATCTACTCTGGATTAGTGGCCTCCCGCTTTTGTCCCTTTTATCTCTCCTCAAAACAATAGTCAAATTGTTAAAATGTTAGTTTAGATCCTGTAGTTTCTCTGCTTTAAAGAGCTCAGGGTAGCAGCACCTGGATGGCTCAGCCTATTAAGTGTCCGACTCTCGATTTTGGCTCAGGTCATGATCTTGCAGTTGTGAGACTGAGCCCATGTTGGGCTATGCACTGAGCACAGAGCCTGCTTGGGATTCCCTCTCTGCCTCTGCCCCTCCCCAGCTCACGTGCATACATGCTTTCTCTCTGTGTCTCAAAAAATACAATAAACAACAATGAAATGAAATACAATAAAATACAATAAAGCGCAATAATAAAATAAAATAAAATAATAAAATAAAAAGGAGCTCAGAGTAAGTCAAAGAACTTACAGTGTCCTGCAAAGCCCTGTGGTTTCACCTTTCCAGTCTCACTATTGCTTCCCTATGTTGCACAAACCCTCCAGGCATGCTTTTGTTTCAGGACCTTTGCACTTGATATTCTCACTCACTGGAATATTCTTCCCATAGACACTAGTATGACTTGCTCCCTCATCTCCCTGGAATCTTTGTGCAATGTCACCCAAGAAGTGCCTTAACCACCCTATTTTAAAACTTCAGTCTAGGGGTGTCTGATTTCCTCAGTTGGTTGGGCATCCAACTCTCGATTTCAGCCCAGGTCACGATCCCATGGTTGTGGGATAAGATCCCACGCTGTCGGCACAGCACAAAGCCTGCCTGGGATTCTTTCTGTCCCTCTCTCTGCCCCTCCCCTACCTGTGCACGCTCTCTCTCTCTCAAAAATAAACATTTAACAAAATAAATAAGATTTTAATCTAAAGTATAACTCATTACACTCTATTCCCTTTTTCTCTTTATTTTTACCTCCAGCTATTATCACCTTCTAATATACTATATCATGTACTTTATTCCATTTGTTGTCTATTTACCCCCAACAGAATGTCAGTTCCATGAGGGCAAAGACGTTTGTCTGATTTGTTCCCTGTTGTATCCCTAGTAACTAGAAGAGCGTCTGGCTTGCAATAGACACTCAATACATATTTCTTGAGTGAATACATGAATAAATGTAGAATGAGTGCATAATTAGCAGTAGGAATACTGTTTTTTCAAGACTGTCATTATTATTCTATCCTAAAAATCCAGGAAGCAAGTTAGGATATGGGTGGGGTGGGCATATATATTTACAACAAAATACACACCCTTGCTACTCAAAGTGTGGTCCACAGACCAGCAGCATCAGCACTGCCTGGGAAATGCAGAACCTTAGGCCCCACCCCAGACTTCCTGAATCAGAATCCATCCACATTTTAATAGGACCCTCCAGGGGACTGAACCTTAAAGTTGAAAGGCAGTGGAGCAGTGGCCCCCAACCTTAACTATGTATTGGAATCATCTGAGTACATGTTACAACTCCTGATGCCTTGGTCTCACCCCAGAGATTGATTTAATTGGTCTGTAGTAGAGAACAGACACAGGTCAGTGGTGAAGAGGTGAAGTGACTGAATTATTCATTATTTTTTTGGTGGAGAATGAGGATTAGAAGATTTTCTGTCAAATCTTGGTACAGAGAGTGACTTGTTGGCATTGACATAATCAACCAACCAGTCATCTCCATCTTATTTCATAACAGTAAATTTCAATTCCTCATTTGTGATTTCAAATGAGACCTTCAAGGCGGCGGCTTCTCACTACCCGACAATACAGTCATATCCACACTCGGGCCACCCTTGAGTGTCTCCACTGCGGGAAATAAACACTGAGCAGTATGTAAGCCCCTTGGAGGAATGTCTTCTGCTCTCTTTTCCAGCAGGATCCAGAGATCTTTGAGAGCAGAAAGCTCAGCAGAGACTGAGGAGGGATTCAGGGTCAGTCTCGGGGTGGCTGTTGGGAAAGCCCTGACCACAGAATTCTAGGTATTTGCAGGGTGGGAATTCTCTACCCTGCGCCCTGCACTCAGAGAGCTTACACGTTTCAACGGTTCCTACCTCTTGTGTTCCCACACTCACTGCCTGACACAATCATTTCCTGGGTGACTCCAGTATAAGGGTGGGGTGCAGAGCTGACCTCTGAGTGTGACCCCAAACATGAATCTTGAACATGAACTTGAATCTGAAGTTCCTTAGCTGCACAATAAAAAGGCATGGAAACATGATAGAGTAGCAGTGGCTAATTGACATCCACGAAAAATTTGGGGCAAGTGTAGGGAGCATTTCCAGATTTTCCTTGACTAAGTGGGCTCTGTCTTGCAGCTCAAGTCTCGGGTTCTTATGACTCCTTTAGCCCTCTCGCCTCCGCGGAGCACACCGGAGCCCGACCTCAGCTCCATCCCTCAGGATGCAGCCACCATACCCAGCTTGGCCGCCCCACAGGCTCTCACAGGTATGTCAGCTGAATGACGTCTAAGGTTGTGATGGTCAGCCAGCCATCTAGCAGTTACTTTGTGAACTGGAGAGCTGCCACTGGGAGAGCTCTAATGAAGGATTTAGTGTGTTAGCTGGCAGGCAGGACAACCAGATTTCTCTGAGAATATTAGTTTAAGTGTCTCACAGGTAGGATTACTTGAAACTTAGTTTTCAATGCATCTCAGGTTCAGCTGGTTGCCTTGGGGTGGGACTAGAAAGAGTGGTGTGGTGGCCTGGTGTTTCATTTTCAGAGCCAGGTTTACTTTCCACCGAGAGTGACCCTGCCCACCTTGAAGAGTTTCCATCTCTGTGTTTGTGCTTCCAGATCCCCTAAGGACCCTAACCTCTCTTAACCCCACCTGGTGGCTCCAATCCAGTCAGAGGAAAGCTCAGTCCAGTCTTTCTCATGGGGTGTCCATCAACAAAGAGTTCCATCATGAAAGTACCAGCAGCAGGATGGCGTCTCTCTCTCACACACACATAAACTGTCCTCATCATAAGCCATCCCTACTCCTGTCCCACTTAAATCCATTCAATTCCCTCCCATTGCTTTTAGGTGAAAATCAAACTTAATTTGGCCGATGGAACCCTGTGGTACATTGCTCTCCTTTCAGTCCCTAGAAGTGCCTCCTCCCCCACCCCTGCCCGATAGGATTTCAGCATATTGCCTTCCTTCTATCTGGAATGACCTTCCTGCTGGTCACCCTACTCCTCCCTTGTATCTCAGTTCAGGCATATCTTGCTCCAGAAAACCTTCGCTGACTCCCGCCAGGGTCCCCAGCATGGGCCCTCCTAGCACTTCCCTAGTGTCTCTCTCGAAGCCGTGGTCCCACATGGCTTCCTGTGGAGCTCTGAGTAGCTCTGCCTCCCCAGCTGGGCCCAAATCTCTGGGAAGCCAGGGACTGTGTGAATCTAGTTCACCATTTTCTCCATAGGGCCCATCTAGCACAGTGCCTGGCATGAAGTTCCCTTGTTGATTAGATATCCTTAATCATCTGGGATGAGTTCAAGGGAAGGCAGCCTGGCAGAGCAGAAAGAGCACAGGCCTTGACATCAGAAAGTCTGGAGTCCCTGTTGTACCACTAATTACACTTTAGACTTTAGAACAGCGATCCAACCCTTTAAGCTTTGGTTCCTTCATTAGTAGAGAAGTAATCATACCCCACTCTCAGGCCCATCTTGAGAATCAAACAAGATAAAGTGCCCAAAGTGCCTGGAATAGAGTAGATGCTCAACAAAAACTTTCTTCACCTTTGTTGTTACTGTTTCATCCTTTCCAAATCCTATTGTTGTCCCCTTAATGTCCCTTTTCAACACTGCTTTGCACTAATAGCCCCCAAAGTAAGTTCCTCATATCCTGGGATGAGGGCGGACACAGCCAAGGAGTTGTTAACATGGGGAAGAAACTATGACACCTACTATTAATATTTACTTAAAAATTTTCTATTTCTTGGTTATGTTTTAAAATGCATGCAATATATTAAAATAGTCAAGAATGTATATAACCTATAAAAAATAAACACCTTTTGGGGCATGTGCTCCAAATTTGTTTACTGATGGGGTATATTACTTTAAAACTGTGTGGGGACCATTGGTTGGGCTTCCCTAAACGGGCAGCTGAGTATTTAAAATCTCTGAGATTATAAATAGCACTCTCCTTAAAACTTCACTGAATATATAATCTTTGGATAAGCAGCCGTGTCTTAATTTTCTGATTCACTGAAGGTTAACAACAACAACAACAAAATTGGCAAACATTACATGTAAGCTTAACAGCTCCTTTGGAGGAGAAGGGAAGGTTTTGGTGTGTGCATTTTCAGTATGGAAACACATTTATACACATGGTCCACATGGGTCTCCATTATTGTCTGCGATTCAGATTCGAGTACATCACAGGGGACCAACCTGTCTATCTGTTCCCAACCAAGAGGTTCTCTTGAGAGCAAGCCTCTGGCAGTTGGGAGTGATTGGCTCTTTTCCCCCTTTTCCTTCTTACATCGGGAAGAATTAGTCCCACTTTTGTTCTTCTCAGCCTTTCCCAAGGTGAGGGCCAAGGTGGCATGGCTGAGGCAACCTCCATGCACACAGGAGCAGCCGCCTGGCCTGATCCCCCTGATGCTGAGGGCTTCATGGCTCTGTTTCCACAGTCTGCCTCTACATCAACAAGCAAGCCAACGCAGGGCCATACCTGGAGAGGAGGAAGGTGCAGCAGCTCCCTGAGCACTTTGGGCCCGAGAGGCCGTCGGCAGTCTTGCAGCAGGCCGTGCAAGCGTGCATTGACTGTGCCCACCAGCAGAAGCTTGTCTTCTCCCTGGTCAAACAAGGCTATGGTGGTGAGATGGTATCAGGTAAGGCCCGGGGCACATTGTATGAGAAGGGACGTGGGTGTCTCTCTGAAGATGGAAGAGGTCATATTCAGGCTTGGGGGACAGTGGCTGTGGCCAGGGTCTGTCTTCCATCCACTGGGCTCCAGGGGCCTTAGGTTAGCTTGTGTGCTGACGGCCTCTCTCTGGGCTTGAGGAGAAGATGCTTCCAGACTTCAGTAAGAATCCTCACCTTTAACTCTTCTCTCACCCACCCCCCGCTTCCAGCTCATCGGTAAATCCTATTGCTCTAACTTCAAAATATATCCAGAAGCCAGCCATGGTTCACCACTTACAGCAGCTACTCTCTGTTCTTTAAAAATCGAAGCCATAGCGTGCCCCTCCTCTGCTCTGCACCCTCAATGGCTCTCATGTCACTCCAAGAAAAAGCCCATGTCCTTATGACGACCCAGAGGCCCTATGTGAACTGGTCCTACCTACCTCTTTGATCTCCCGGTCACTTCTCTTGTGTCCTCACTCTGCTGCAGCCTTGCTGGCCTCCTTGCCGTTCCCCCTGTTATCCTCCAACCATGCTCCTGCCTCAGGGTCTTTGCACCTGCTGTTCTTTCTGGAATGTTCTTCCCCCAGCTGTCCATGCTTGACTTGCTCCTGGACTTCCTTCAGGGTTCTACTCAAATACTGCCTTATCCAGGAGACCTTTTCTGAACACTTGGTCTAAAATATCAGCCCATGTCACTATTCTTCCTTGCTCTGCCTCATTCCTTCTTCATGGTACATATCACCATGCAGGGCAGTGGGGAAGCTCATGGTCTCAAGCCCCTCTTATGGGGTGAGTTGTTTTTTGTAAAAGCCCTTCAGAGTCAATCCCTTCTCCCATTGTTACCACCATCCTCCAGGTTCATCCCTGCCCCAACAGCTTCCAGAGGGAGTGGCAGTTGTCACCTAAGATGAGAGGCAGAGTCGGGAGTGCTGCCCTCTTCATATGTTTGGCTGTAGAGGCTCTTTCTGCCTTACCCAAGTCTCTAAACAATCGTTATTACCACCTGCCCTTAAGCCTCAGAGCACCACCCCTTTGCAAATGTCTTGACTCCAAGGGCACAGCATGGTGTCTTCTTTGGCCCAGCATCAAGGCCATGACCTCTGTATCACCAGGGAATAGGTAAAGACTCTCCAGCAACGGGGTGGTGCAGATGACCCTGCTGGCCAAGAGTAGGTCAGGGGAGAGGGGCATCTAATATCGCTGTGTCAGGAAGAACCCAAGCAGGGACATTTTATTTAACTTGAGATCCCCAGGGCTTGGAGGTGAGGAGGTTGTCTAACCAGTTTCCCCTAGCTGTGATTGGTTCTGCCCACCTTCTGGAGCTCCCTCTGGGCAGGAAGGGGGGTATGACTTGCTGGTAACTGACTAAAATAGAACTTGGCAAAGTCCAGTGCATGTGGCTGACCCAGAGTGACTTTTAAGAAACTTTGGCAGAGGCAAGCAGAGACAAGAGGAAGAAGTACTGCATCAAGAGAGGGTAGGAGGAGAGTCTTATTGTCAGCCTTCTGAGATCCCACTGGCCATTGTGGTATTTTTCTGAGAACCAGGTTCTCAAACTTGGGCTCCCTCTGAGGTTTAGAGCCTTGTCCTTTTCCTTGCCGAATACCAGGACTCAAGACACAGACACAGTGCTAAGAGAAAATTCTTCCTGTACTGTGTGCCTACCCTCTTCAGTGAATTCCATCCCACTGAGTTTTTCATGGCCCCTCCCCCTAAGCTGGGAGAACTGAGCCCATTTTCCCTGCTCTCCTGCTCAGCCCTTCTGTGGCCTCAGGGGCCTTGGCACTGGGGAGCAGGTTCTGCAGTGCCTGGCACAACACAAGCCTGGGAAGAGCCCTGCCAACTTTCCCTTGGCTGAGGGATTCCCAGGAAGTCCAGAGCTGAGCACTCAGTCTTGGTGTCTTGGAGAATGCAGTAGCACCAGGGGACTCTTCATGCTGCTTCCTTGAGGTGCCAGAGCAGCAAGGGGGTCCTTCATGTTATTGAGGGCAAATATGGAAGCTCAGCAAGCTGTGAGAGGGGCCCAAGGATAAATAGACTCTCCCACTTTCCACCTCACCCTTAGGGCACTGCTTTCTAAACATTCCCATGGCACAACACAGAAAATGGTGACATTGGTGCTGGCACATTGGGCTGAAGGAACCAGACTGCCATGGGGCGGGCCTTGGGCCAGCTCAAGGGCTAAGGGAGCAGTATTGCATGCCCTGCCCGAGCCATGCTATCCCAGAGGGGTAGGCCTCATGGTCTCATAAATGCCATGGCTGCTTCGAGGAGGTGGTCCTTCCAGGCACCTCTGGGAATGTATGCACCTTGATTTTGGGTCTGATGACCCAGACTCTCCTGCTATGGGTTCAGTTTCCATCACGCTTAGTCTTCTGAAATATTGGAGGCAAACAGTGACACTCACACTAAGAGGGAATTTCCATAGTGTCTGAGTTGCCGGGGTGAACCCCTTCGTGGGCCTGTTGGTTGTGCTTTGCCAGCTCTCCCAAGCAGAGTCACTTGAGTATTAACATGACAGGCAAGGGCCACCTAGAGGCCACATGAGTTGGAAAAACTGCTCTTCACCCTCTTCTCAGTCTCCTTATCTGTAACTTGGGATAATAACCTCTTGTCTACTGTCCTCATAGGATAGAATGATGGATAATGAATGTTCTTGTCAAACTATAAAGAGCTTATACACACAAAAAATGGATTCTTTTGGCTTCTAATTAAAATGCTTTGTTTCGTGCTAGTTCTGAAATCAAAACTACCTCTGGTTTTGTCCCTGCCCAGCCCCTGTTATGTGCCAGTCTTTGGGAGGTAAAATGTAAAAAACCTCTTGGTGTTAGCAATGAATGGCAGAGACATGGGTGGGGGCAGTATGTCCTCCTAGGGTCTCCTTCTGTGTTCCTCACACTGGAGCTGGTATGCAAGCTTCATGGGGCAAGAGAGGGCTGTGAGGACAGTTACAGACAGGGGTATGCTGGAAGAAACATGTTTCTTCTAAATTCTGGTAACCCTGTAGAAATTGAATGTGATCTAGAATCATTATGGAGAGATTCTTCTTCTTTTTAAAGCGTCCTCCCCGAGAAAGGTAGAAAGAACCCTAAACTCTGTGATGCTGGATTAGAGCTAGAGACCTCAGCATGAACTCAGGTTTATTTGGATCTATCTATCTATCTAGATCTAGACCTATCTATCAATGAGCATATCCAGTGCCCAAATCTTAGTTTCTAAATATCATTCTTCAATAACAAGGAACCAAGGATGTTGGAGAAATGGCTGAAATTAGGGCAGGGGCAGGGAAAATGCAAGATGAAACTGAGGCATATTAAAGTATCAGTAACCAAAGAGTTGCTAAAAAAAAAAAAATGAGGGCATGTCATAGGGACACAGGACACTAAAAGTCCCAAAGACAAAATTTGAGCAACAAAATAAATAACATATATTGGATAACCCACAGTACAAAATAAATATATTAAGTCTATACTGATATTATTGAATAAATGAAGGAATGAAGGAATAAATGGAGGACAATGGACGGTTCTTTCTTTCAGAAGAATTCCAAATAATACAGAGACTCTCCCCTCTTTGAGAGGTAGACCTTAATCCCTCTACCACCCTTGAGTGTGGGCAGGAACTTGTGACTTTTTTCCAAGGAATGAAATATGGAAAATACAGTAGAGAAATGCAGCAAATGCTATCTGGCCAAGTGATAAAGGCTGACATCCCAGTGATGTCGTGGGGACATCATGTACCCCTGATCTGATAACAGGAGAGGGACACTTCACTTCTTCTCCAAAAACATTAACCCCAGTCACATCATGAAAAAAAAATCAGACAAACCCAAATTGAGGGACATTTTACAAAATATCTGACTGGTACTCTTCAAGACTATCAAGGTTATGCAAAACAAGGTAAGTCTGAGAACGAGTCACAAACCAGAGGACACTAAGGAGACGTGACAACTAAACCCATCATGGTCTCCTGGATGAGGTCCTGGAACAGACGCAGGACATGAAGTGAAAACACAGGCGAAATCTGAATAAAGCTTAGTTAAAAACAGAACACAACTGAAAAAACAAAAACCTCCTTCCAGGGACTTGTGGCTTTCTCATGCCCCGCTCTGAGTTGCTGTCTCTGTGGCATTTCAGTGTCGGCATCCTTCGATGGGAAACAGCACCTGCGGAGCCTGCCTGTGGTGAACAGCATCGGGTACGTCCTCCGTTTCCTCGCCAAGCTGTGCCGAAGCCTTCTGTGTGATGACCTCTTCAGCCACCAGCCCTTCCCCAGGGGCTCCAGTGGCTCTGAGGAAACCCAGGAGAAGAAGGAAGGCAGGATGGAGTCAGGTAGGCTTTGTCCTTCTGTCTTTCCTGTGCCTGCAGGTGGTCCCAGGTGTCCCTGCCCTCCCACGAGCTCCTGGGAGCTCTCTTGCTGGAGGCCCACAGGAGGCCTCTCTGCCAACCGTCCATCCCAGGGAGCAGTCAGGAATGGCCAAGACCGAAGGTACCTCGACAGTCCTCACCCAGGTTGCAGTGGGAAGAGATCACTCTAGCTACTGAGAGCTGATGCTATAGTGTTTAGGCTTATGTTATTAGAATCTGGATGAGACCACATCACATATAATGAGTGATTTTCTTCACTCTCCTCTAATTAAGACTCTTGGGCACTTATGCATCATTGTTGAGTAGTTGAAAGACTATCACAGTAAGGAACTAATAAATCCTGAAGAAACTAGGGATAAGGAAACAGATTACGTTGGTCTTGCTTGGGGGCCTCAGATACCCACCCATGTCAATAAACAGAGTGTCTATTACTGCAGGGATTTGACCAGGCCACGAATCAAATATGTTTTTCACTGAGTCAGAGTCTCTCTCTCGTCACAGGATGGAAAGTGAGCCAGGGGCTTGAGTGCCTTTTGTTGCAGAGTAGCTCAGCATAGGAAAGCTAGTGGGAAGGTCACCAAGGGCACACAGGGGCCACACTGCCAAAGCTGTCACAACATTGTCTGCTCAAGATACCCACAGAAGGTTTTCCTTCTCTGCTTAGCAGCCCTGAGTTACGGATTTGCAGAAAGTTAAACATGACTCTAGGTTCTGGATTCTAGGTTCCCAAGGATTAGCAGAAATGTTGCCTTTTTTCTTTGTCAGGAAGCGGTATTGTTGATATATAAAGAACACATAGTCAGTGAAACTGGAATCTAGTCATTATGTCATTCTATAAACATTTGCTGAACCTTCTTATGCTCCAACAACCATGGGAGAACTTGTCTTGTGATAAGGCAAATACACAAGGTTCAGGAAGTTTTTGAAGTATTGAGGTATTGAGTGACCAGTATTCGTAATGAAAAGTGAATACGTTTGCAGGTATGTGTTCACAGGTAGGCTTAGATGCTTAAAAAAAAAAAGATGCTTATAATAAGAGTGGCTATATGGTAAGCCTAAGAGGACAGCAGGGAAGGATAAACTTAGATTCTTAGCATATATTTTTTTTTCAAGAACTGTCAAGAACCTTGTTTACAATTTTACATTAATGTCTCTAAGATCTGGGATCAGTAAGAAATTTGGCCTTTACAAATAAAGGTATCTAATTAAATATAGTCTATGTTAGCAGGTACTATATACGTTTGTTGTTTTTTGGTTTTGCTTTGTTTGTTTGTTTGTGATGCCTCTATGTGGGCAAGCTTGGGAAAATGTTTTCTTCTTTCTGGGCCTCCATTTCCTAAATGAAGTATTGCTCGTGCACAATGCTCCTTCTGGTTCCTACAGTGTGTATCTGGCCTCTCCTGTCAGCCTTAGCTGACTCAGGAACATATCCTAAAGCTAATGCATCTTCTAGTGAACCTTGCAAACAGAATAGCAGGATGGTCTGATTTCACTTTGCAAACCCCTTGAATCACTGTTACATTGAATAATCAATGACCCATAGGATATAATTATAAAGCCACATAATTCGTGTCTCCCATTCTCCTTTAAATGTATCCTGTGGGACCACTTCTTTCCCGTCCATGGATGAAATTTTGGACAAATCTTATGACTTTTCCTGCTCCTTTCAGGTAGCAAAGCATTCTCTAGTCAACAATTAGTATATCTAGGTCAGAGTAAGAACAAAATTTAAATTTCACTCAAAGATATAACTATTCCCCATTCCCAGTTCAGATCTGCTTCAGGCCAGTTGGCTTCTCTCCACCTCACACTTAACCTTGTGTTTTTGCCCCCTCCTATATTTAGCTAATAATGATTCTGAATCCTTCATGACCGGAGTAGGGGACAGAAGTGAGGTAAGGGGTAGGAGAGTTTTTACTTGACTAATCCTGTAGTGAGTTGGCATCATACACCCTAATTTGCAGGGGTTTGAAGCTGATTCTTCATCCTGTGGGCTCTTACATGGGCACATTGGTGATCCTACCATCTCTCACTTGCACTTTCCATGACATGAACAAATAAATATAACTCTTCTCTGGCTGGTCACTTATAATTCCTTCCACACCCCCAAATCTGTAGGAAACACATCTCTAGCTTCTTTCTGCAGAGGCCCTGTTGTGCCACCACACAGTCCTGCAGTCCTAAGATGATCTTACTTTAGATCTCTCTTCTGATGGCCCACATATGGTCCTGACAAATACTACACATGATCCTTTCCCCAGACAAACTCTGGGAAGGCTGAACCCTGCAGGCACCTCTGCTTTGTTCTCTCATCAACGTAGCCAGACTTTTGGATTTCCCATGGGAATCAAACAATAATCCATTGTGTCTCTCAACTCCAGGGACAGATATCAAGCTATTCACATGGCCACATTGAAGCCCTTGGGAGCACACTGGACAGTTCTCTCCATAATTCATCTTCTAGTCAACCTGTTTCTCAACCTCTATATTTCTTTTGCAGACGTGATTTAGGTGGTCATCTGTAGGTACAAAGCTGGCTTTCCACCTTTTTTATTTTTTTCAAGATCTGTACACTTCACACTACTTTGGGGTATCTGTTGTCTTACAGCCTCAGCCCAAACTGAAACTAAAATGGTTTCATTTTAACATCCTGTCCGAGGAGCCCCCCTCCAGCCTTCCTAAGTAATTATTGAGGAAACTCTTGCCTTGGTTTCTACCATATCCTCTCCCCTTCCAAGCTCACCATACTGGAGGACGGTTTAGTCTTTTCCCTGGAGCAGTGTAGCTACAGTTATTTCTCCCTGAAAGCTCCTTTTCTTCCTAGCTGGCCTGGCTTTGGAAGTAATAACTTGAATTGTCTTCATGAGCCTTTCCCTAGAGCATGCTGATATGAAAAATGAATGGCTCCCAAATCAACCAACCTTGTGGAAGTTGTTTCTCATGCCCTAGGTGTTGCAAAACCAAGTGCAGTGTGCTTCATGTGTCTGGGAGTCTCAAGGAAAGTGGAAGGAAGAAGCAGCCACGTCATAGTACGCTCTAAGCAGCCCCCTTGCCACATGTCTTTTCCACCAGTCTGCCGTGGAGCCTAAAATGACACCATTAGAGAGTTTGCCTTTAGATTAAGACATTGCCTCTTTAGGGTTGTGCTTTCAAATTTCCCTAAAAGGGTAACATATCAAGTTATTATTGTTTCAGATGAGGAACTGGCTTATACTCACTTTCCCACTTTTGTGGCAAGAGGGGCACGTGTGAGAGGGAAAGGATGGAAGTCTTTGTTGATTTTAGGTTCCATATCCATCTGGAGGACCAACATCATTCCAAAACAATATTGCAATCTTGAGCTCATTTTAACCAGGTTGTTCTCCGCCCCGATGTTGTTCAATTAAAGCGATGGTCTATCAGGCTTGGTGACACACACTTGTCCACACTCATTAGAGCATTTCCAGAAGACACTTGATTAGACAATAAGAAAATGCAAAGCTGTGACACGTAAGACACTATCAAAGAAACAAAGTTTGTGCCCCCCCCCCAAAAAAAGGATGATTTGGAGGAAGACATGATTTTCTGTTCCAGTATACAGCAGCAGGTCATGTGGGTTTGTTCTCTGTGGTTCTGGTGATAGATTTAATTAAACCTAAGGTGTTGCCTCTCAAACTCTGGTCAGAAGCATCCTCATCACCTGAGAAAGGCAAGAGCTCAGAGGCCCTCCCACACTCTTTAACAACAGATCCCGGGTGATTTGAAGACCCATTAAAGTCTGGGAAGTGTGGATTTAAGGAATACTCTCCCAGGTAGACAACTTGGCAGCTGAAGAGCCAGGTAGAACTCTCACAAGATAGCTCCTTTAGGAGTCAGGTGGGGCTGATATTCGTAGGGAACTTTGAAAAGTCATAGAAGTAGAAGGGACTGCTTGAGCGGTAGTGATCTCCCCGTTACTGGTGACAAGTGCAGATGCCCGCTTATTAGGCCATTAGGGGTAACTCTGGCAACCCAGAGAAGTAGGAGCAAGATGTCACAGCTGGAGGTGGCAGAGGCTAGCTCTGGGCAGCATGAGGTCAAGGTGCCCCAAGAGTCCCAGTGAGGGTCCCCCGCCCCCGCCGAGGTGGATCCCAAGGCAGAGGGGCTCACGTCAGAACAGAGAGAGGGCATCTTTCAAATCTCTTCCTCAGGCCTTTGGAATATAAACTTTCTTCTGTGATCTTTCTTCTGTGTCAGGGGCAAACCAGACTTCAGACCTCCTCGGCTGCCTGAATCCAGGCCGGAAGGTAGAGTTCTTGGCTGGAAATCAGGAACATCAGTCATTTCCCTTCAATTCTATTAATCGACAGCCAAATGTGGTGTGCATTTTAGGAAGACCAGCTCACTGGTGCTTTGCAAGAATGGAGGCAGAAACATGGGTTTGATAACATTTGCGGTTCTGTCAGAAGTCACGTGATGATCACAGGGAAATTTACTGTACCTTCGAATGTTGAAAAGAAACGGTCTCAATTATAAATAAACTCAAGCCAGTGTTTTCCAAACTTGAATGTGCTCCCGAACCACCTGGCATCTTGTTAAAATGCAGATTCTGGCCTCAGCAGGACTGGCGTGGGGCCTGAGAGTCCGCATATGTAACAGGTGCCGGGTATTGGGGCTGCTGCTGGCTGGGGACCACACTCTGAGTGATAAAGTGTGGGCTGGCAGAGTTCTGCTCACCTAGGGAAATTTAGTTCAGGTTTGCAGTAAAATGAGTCTATGTGTGCTAGGACGCTATATAAGTGTTGTCACTGAGGATGATCCCATGTCCTGTGGAGGTGTCCATGGGCTGGAGAGGAGATGGGGGAGGGCGGAGTGGTTAGGTGAGGTGGTAGGTGTGCAGTCTGGGTGAGAAAGAGGAGGTTTGCTGCACTGGTAAGAAGGTTGAAAGAAAGCAAAGAATGACGACAGCAAATTCCTCAGTGTGGCCTGGCCATCTTCTGCAGCAG